GTCTCCCTTATCACCATCACCCAGAGCCAGCTAGGTAATGAGCAGCTCCCTAGAAAGTGAGAACACACAGCTCTGTGGCCCTTACTCTGGGAGAGCCCCAGGGAACTTGGTTGGGCCAGGCGCTCCCCAGAGGCAGAATCCAGGCGTCTGGCTTGGGCACCCAGGTAAGATCCAATTCTCACCCACAGCTGTGCAGTTGGTTAAGGTGACGTACGTAGGGGTTCAGCTTCCTCACTTGTAAAAACACTTACCCTCCACAGCTGTGAGAACAAATGCAATAAATCATAAAGCTCAGTATAATGCCTGTCTGTAAAAGACAGGCAACAGCTTAACTCAAAGAATCCCTAATCTGCTTGTCCTGAGCTCGACACAATTCCAAGGCTCTGCAGAACACTTTTTTTCTGGGGGGGGGGGGGGGGGGGGAGGAAGTACTATTTTAGTCCAAACTCTTCATTGTTCACAGGAAAGTTCTCTGGCCAAATGTTAAAGACAAACTTAGACTGTGAATTTGAAATGTCCTGTTTGAAATGCACATATATGCACCCTCTCTCTCTCAAACAGACACTAACATAACTATTAATTTTTAAAAGAACTGAAGAGAAATCAAATATTGTGATTTTTCACATGCCTTTTTCATTATAGTTATGGCTCAGTTTTGAAAGAAAATAAAAAGCATGTACATGAATAAATTGTTTCTCATTTTTTGTGGTTGTTGATTAGATTGACTGGGTCAACCAGTATTATTTTATTGATCAGGTAAGGATTACCTGACTCAAAATCTTGTGATTTTTTTTTTTTCCTACTACAACTGCTTCATGACTGTCTTTTAAGTTAGTTCCAGAGGGAGCAAATCAGTAACTAATAAACTTTACATCTGACTACCACCCAGCTAACAGCCCCACTTCTAAAATCTGAGGTAAGTAACAAAATCTTTTAGCTGGGATATCTTCCTCTGAAACTCTTTGACCTGTTTAAACTTTTTTTTAAACTGCATTTTCTTTTATAACCCTATGGATTCAAAACAAACAAGCTTCTCTAACTACCAGCAGAGAAGCAGTCCATGAGGTACAAGAGGTAGGCCTGGGACCGTGAGTGAGACCCGAGGTGGTACATGTTGGCTAAACAAACTCTAGCGCCAAACAGATGCTAGCGCAGGTTGGCCATCACCAGCTGAGAGGTCTCGAGCAGATTATTTTTCTTCTTTTGCAAAAGTGGATAATAAGCACCCTTCTCAGAGGACTGTTAAGGGATTAAGTGCAATAAAGTATTTAGTATTTAAAGTATTTAGTTCAGAGTATGGCATGTATGAAGCATTTATTAAATGGTAGGTGCTAGTGCTTTTAATTTTGTTGCAATATTATGAAAAGTATTAAATGGGACAAAATCATTTAGTCTGAGATATCTTTAAAAGTTAGGCAGCAATTTTGTTTTGTAGCTTCTTTATTACAGTGTTAAAAGCCTTTACTATGTACTACTGCTATGTCTTGGTGAAAAGCCGTCTGTTTATTAAGATTGATATTTCAGGAGAGAAACATAAATGAGTCTTTCATCTAATCAATACCTCTGATACCTATCATTGTTCCTGGGTGTTCTATATAGTAGCTGTCAGCTTTCTAAGAAAAGATCAAAAGATTAGTCATTTTTTGCCTAATAAAATCAAACAAAAAAGCCATGTTGCTGTGACTGCCAAAACGCTTTTTAAAAGCTTAGTTCTGACATACAATTAAAAAATGCTTATGAAAAATATATTCAGAAAACCATTCAAAAATTGATCATTCATCACTAGTCTCTTATTCTCACCCAACATTGGTTTACTTAAGATATTAACTATGCCTTTTAAACATTTCTAAGAGCTTTAATAAACACGTAGTAGAAAAACGTGTGAAAGCTTCATGGGGCAATTTTTTTTTTTCCATGGTAAAGGGTTTGGTTAGCTCTGTTATATTGGGTTACCTGTTTTGTTGTTTCTTATTTCATACAGTGATTTATAATGTTAAGTGCTAGCACACCTAACAGCATTTCACAATGCATGAATTCAGAAAAAATATACAAGTTAAAACAATAGGTTTTAAAAGTCAACCTGATGTCTGAAAGGCTTCTTTCTGAGAAACTTCACACTCAGTAAACAGTACCACCACCAGGAGAGGGAGGGAGACTCAAAAAAAGCCTTATTAAGAGATGAGGGGTGGTCTATTGCCAATATTTGAAAAACACTTACAGTATATTTAATTAATCTAATTACATGGTGCACTTACAGCTTCTTATTAATGCCCTCTGATAGAGATATGTGGCCTTGAAAGCTCAGTGCCCATAGCGCTTTGAAATGAAGTTGGATAATGTCCAGAAATTTCCATTAGTCCCCATACCTTTTGGAACAAAGTACTAGTAAAGTGCGTAAAATACATGGTGGTTAAAAATGTGGTATCTTTAGACATTCAAGTTTTTCTGTTTGGTGCATTTCTGTTTGGTAACATAATGTGTCCCTACAATCATTTGGAGAAAGACTCAGAATGACATGACAGAAAATTTGTATTTTATACCCTTCAAATGATAATTAGGACGGTCATAAGTTAACCTCCAAACCCACTAGTATTCACTCACCCTTGAGCACTAACGTTCCAGGCTGCCAACACATGCTATCGAAGGGCTATTCGCAATCAACTTGATACTCACTAGCAGGAAGCATGTGATTTTCACCAAAAAGCATACTAATTGTATTACACAGTGAAGCAATGTTCATCTATATTCAACCTTCCATAATGTTTGAGATTTAACACAACAATTTCATGGAAAGAGAAATATGTGGAACACAGAACCATGTGAAATCTTGGTACTAAGTTTTATTTTTAAAACACTGCAGGGATTATTGCCTTTAAAGAAAATTTCAGTATCAATAAAATATGAAGAGCTGTTTCATTTCAGAAATTCAACTTGTATGCATTAAGTTTTTCTACTTAGAAGGGTATAACTGCAATAAAGATTTTACTAAGTTGAAGTTTTTTACAAAACACTCTATCCCACGAGAACATCTTAAAGGTCAGCCTTAAGCCTGAGGTTCAAAATTAAACTGATGGAAAATTACATTTTCTCATTTATCATTTAAATACATACATAAAGCAAGCATCCTGAATACACCCATATAACAAGTGCACATGATTTTTTCTCTTAATATTGGGCACTGAATTTGCGTCTGATGCTTCTTCCAGAGGGAAGCATAGTGACAGTGACTTTCTGTCAAATAATTGTCGCTGTTGTTTTTCTGGTTAATATATATAATTAGGCTCAAATGAATGTGGATGAGTTGAGCTGCTGACATATTTAACTATGGATTCTAAGGGATTGTCTTCCACATAAATAATTTTGAAAGGCCATAAGATGAATATATACAGACGTACAAGTAATAATTTTTTTTTCTACTGGTGAGGAGAACAAACACAAGTCGATATTTTAAAATAAAAGTGATCAATCTGGACTTACATTTATCAAGCCAAATCTAAAATAAATAAAAACCATTCCTTATTATTAATAGGCCAGTTGAGTAACTGTCCCTGAGATAAGGTGTAATAATGTGACTTTATAAAAATTCACGGTTTTTACTACTACAAAGAGAAACAATTAAGAATGTGGAAATTGTATATCCAGGTGAAGTCTGGACAGACCCAAAGAAACTACTGGGTTGACAATACATCAGTCAATAGATTAATAATTTTAAACCTAAGAAATTAATCTGTATTAGGGAGAATCCTGGATAGAATTTAAGGCAACATTTATATATTTTTAAACGAAAATTCATTTTAAAGAGATTCTTTCAGCAGCCAAGATGAATGATAGCTTCCAAATTGTATTCTCTGTTATGAAGACTTATAAATTATCTATGCTGAAGAGAACATTAACCAGTTAAGTACCAAGTGCTTCTGCACTAGTTCACGTCATACCAGTTTTAGAACAGCCTCAAGAGAAATACTATAAATTGAATAATCAGTGCTGCCTTTTTTTTGTCAACTCATCACTGAACCAACCTAATCATAGCTGGCCTGTATACTAGGAAGTACAGATCATATTACATTGTAAAATTTCACATTCGCACAGGATAATATATAACAAAACAGAATATTAAAATGCTTGATTATATAATGTCCTCTTCTAGTAGATAAAGGTTTATAAATTCCTGCAGAATTTTACCCAAGGAACTATGAATACCCTTCTCAGAGGACAGTTAAATCTGTTTGAATATTAACATAATTTTTATGGTCAATCTCCAACTTGTTAGGAATTAACCATATGTGAATACACTCCTCCATTGTGACCCTACTAAATATTGATAATATTTTATTACATAGTATCTACCTTACTACATTCACATTTAGATAAGTATGCTTTAAAATGTTTTTCTTATTACTCTTTTTAAATAGGCATGACTAAGCGTGTCCACATGAAATAAAGTGATTTCTAAATTGGTGGAAGCACTTGAGAGAACCAATAAGCTTTAGAAGAATTTGGTATAAATGCTGATGATGTAGACAGGAAAAAACTATTTGTTGAGATTCAATTAAATGGTTTTTGAACCTTCCCATGATAAAAAACATCGTCATCCGTAGCTGCCTATAGGAATACTTATAATCTTCAAACTCTAAAAGTATGTTTTAGAATTTTCTTCTCAATACTGATGAAAAATTTTCTTTAGATTTGGAGAATTTCCAATGCATCTCCTTTTGTTCATTTTTATTTGTTTTGGCTCTGTTGCAATGCAACGAACACAAGTACTTTCAGTATACTTCCCTACTGAAACCTATCTGCCAGATTTTGTGCACTGGTAATTGGCAATTAGAATACAAATATATTCTTTTCAGCATATAGAACCATCAGGCAGCTGAAGTGTATTCTTTTGCATATTCGTGGGTTATATCGTGAAAGGACCTAGTATACCCAAGGTGAGCTGGGTGGCAAAATAGCCATGCATTAAAGCCAATTATATGTCATACATAAAAGTGCACGTTAACTACTTGAAAAAATTCACATTTATTTACTGTCAAACCGTGTTAAACTTTACACTGGATATTAGTGATGGGCTCATTATTAACAGGTTTACACAAAGGGATGAAAAGAAAGGCAGAATTTGGCTGAAACAATTTACATTTCATTAGAACTTTATCATAAAATAAATTAATTACTAAATATAGGCAGAAGGAATATGGAAGAGTAATATTTATGTTTTATTTCATTTTTTAAAAAACAATAGGCACCTTTTGTTCACTAGAAAGTTTGTGAGAAGTGCCCAGTGCCCTCGCTGCCCCCTGTTCAAGAACAAACAGGGGTGACACACAACCTTTTCTAGATTTCACCACATTTGTGCAAGGCATGGCATAACTGGCTTCAAAGAGTTTTCCCCCCATAAAACACGCTCTTTTGGCAATAAGAAATTTAAATGTAAGAATAAGGACTAACATGTCAAAGCAGAACACTGTATACAGTGGAAAATAAGTGAAAATGGGTAGAACTTACCATGACAAAGTGTAAGAAAAAACATTTCATAACATATGTGCAACCAAGAGCTTTTCACAATATTTTCTTCAAACTCTTTAAAATTATTTTTAATGACAATTCTATTTCAGTTGGACACAAATGTATTTATTTTACCCTAGCAATAGAACAAAATATAATTTCTTTAGCCATTTTTGAAGAGTTCATTGTACAGTTGAGGAAACATATGAAATAAGGCCTGTGGCTTGATTGCTAGTGGTTAAACATGTTTTCAATCTTTGCCTTAATGTAAAAGGTTTGCAGTCAACTGCAAACTGCTGCAGAATATCTCTCCTGCTTTTCCAAGTCTTGTCAGGAACAGTAAGGTACAGTAAATTTGTCCCACAGGATTTTAAAGCCTACGTCTTGTATATAATACAATGCAGGCCTACAAAAATGGTGCAGCCATATTTACAAATTTAGTTCACAAACTGCTGCAGTAAAATGGCTGGAAAGTTCTGTTTTGTTTGTTTCACAATTTCTCTAAACAGCAGCAGAATCTTAAAATACCTGGTTGGCATCTCTTTTCTTTGTAACAAATAATTCATTTTAGTATACTCTGTGTATATACAAAGTTTTTTTACGTTTTATAAAAATTCACAGAACTGCAAGGTTCAGTCATCTTTTTTTTACACTGGAGAACCACAGGTCAACAGGGCCATCTCTTCAAGCGGAGTTTCAGGGAGCTGCGTAGGGCCAATGGAGTCTGTCTGTATTCACTACTTGTGTGTGGCCTCTGGAATTCCTTGGTGGCACTATTAGAGACTTGTCACCAGCTGCATTTGTCCTTCTCTGACGTCTCCTTCTGGAATACACCCTTCTTTGTTAATAGGGATTATGTACCCATCGCTGTTGCCCCTGCTGATCTGGTAGCACATCTGAAGCCGGTGGCCAGCTCCAAGGTTTGGCATGCTCTTATAGTAGATGTCCTCGTTCTCACTCCTCCGGGACGGAGGCAGGTCTTCTTCCGTGTCGGGGCTGCTCTCCTGATCGGGAGAGTCTCTGAGGTTGGGCATGCTTGTGTACAGAGAGTCTCTGTTGGGGGACTGGAGATGGTCCTCGGCCTCGGCTGTCAGCTGGGATACGTAGCTGTCAGTCCCCTCGGGCTTTGCTTTCTTCTGGGGTTGGTACAGAAGGGAGTGAGTCCTCTGAGGGATGAGCGGGGCCTCGAGTTCTTTGTGATGGAGCTCCAGTCCAGGATTGTCACCATGCATTAGAGATGAGGCGTCTGCCACAATAGCGTCATCTTCGCTGCTGCTCCCTCCAATCACAGGCTTGACTGGTAGTGTGAGCTCGAGGTTGTGAGCCTTGCTGCTGCCCCGTAGGTTGTTGTGCACTAATTCTGAAATGATCATCTTCTCAAAAGCGGTATCATTCAGACTTAGTCCACAGTCCACAACCTGCACGCTGTCATTATAGTCCCCCTTCCGCAGTGAGTAGCTGTTGTTAAAATTACCATTTAGCGGTAGAGTATCCATGGCACTTGTATCCCTGGCATTGTTCAGTGAATGTCCTGAAACAGAAAAGGGAGGGGTTCCATTACTGTCTCTGTTCCTGATGAGAGGATCGTTACTTCTTTAGAACAAAACTTTTTAATGTCGTTCAGGACAAAGTTGTATTCGAAAGCTAACACTTGGAAAGTGTCAGGCTTTCCCGCGTTCCCAACTGTAAACAGTTGCAACCCCTTAGATAACAGGAACAAGTGTGAAAAATAATACTGTTTTCTGGGGAGGGAAGAGGGCATACAGAATGTTGGTTTATCAATTTTGAGGAGACAGTATATATCAATTGATTTTTGGTCAAATCTCTGACACTCTTACAAAGAAGACTTCACTCCATGCCCTTGCATAGTTAATGCAAAGCAATTCATTAGTGACATTTACATTTTAAAGTACGAGACTATGGTTTATAAAAATAAAATTAACAGAATTTGTCCTAAACAACACTAAATTAAAAGGGAGTAAGTCACATACAAAAACTGAAGGCAAATGTACAACATAAACCCACAAAACTGGCAAGCAACTCTTTAAACAATATTCTAACATTTCCTTTTTCTGGAGATGAAGTAAAAAAAAAAATGAAAAAATGGACAGACACAAAGAATTCATGTTTAACAAAGATAGCCATCTCTCACACTGACTGGACCAGGGCCCACAAGCACCATCCAACAACACGATAGACAGCAGGTGGAATGACTCACTTTGGACAACTCACATCATGTCTGTCTGCTCAGGCTATCTGGCCTAAGAGTAGCTGATATATAAAAAAAAGTAAAATGATTTATTGTAACATGATGAAGAATTTCTAAGCTTCTCAGCAACTTAGTCAGAGCAAGGGTTCAACAAATTAGATTACCAGCAATAGCAGCCTTTTGCTTTTTCATTGAATATTTCTTATGATTTTGAACTTTTGTTTTGGTACTAATACTCTAATGCAATGGCCCCAGGCTTCTAATGGTCAAAGTTTGCCTGCAGCCCTGCAGTTTGCATCAGTCACAGTGACAGCTTCTAATGAACCAGCAGAGTCTACTATACGAGACTGGCCCACAGACACCATGGGCATGGAGGTTAAACGCAGAAATGTTAGGAGATTTCTTAAATATGGGTCACAGAAATTAAACCAAGGATAAGTATTAACTGTGGAATGGGAAAAGGGTGTCAGCCTTGGCTAATACATTTTTGTCTCTAAAGGAATGAAAGATTGGATACGTCTGCTGAAGATATGAAAAGAGGTTTAGGAGGAAAAAAAATATGGTAACATGCTCTCTTTGTATTTTTCTACAGACACATAAACATGTAAACTAAGACATCACAGTGCTTCTCAGGCAGATGAAAAAAAAAGTTTTAGAAAAAATTAAATGGTCTGTACCATGGAAAGTTAGGTTATTCATTCTCAAAATCCTAGAGAAAAAAAATCACTTGTCTACAGATAGGTCTGGAAAAAAAAAAGAATGAAATGATGTTATTGAAATGAAACTGACCACTGTGAGGCTGCTGCATTGTATGCAAGGCTTGGAGGAGTTTAGGAAAAAAAAGTAATTCTTGGAAAAAATAGGAAATTTCCCTTTTTAGTGCTCACTCCACTTATAAAGCTGCAGATTATCCTAGAAAACTCAATGTTACGACCAATAAATAACTCATAATTGCTCAATTATCATTAGCAGAAAATAAGAAAATAGGAAGGATCATATTGTTGACTCATGCTATTTTAAAAATTCTGATCCAACTTCTACATTTGAAAAATTGGCAATTCGGTTCATATTATGCTCCGTGGCACATATAACAAAATGAAGTAATGATAGTTCTTTGCAAGGCTTCCTTCAGCCTGGTTGACATGATTCACTAGCTTTATAAATTCATATATGTGCCACAAATTTTAGAAGATCTATTACTAGGAAACATTTGATGTTTTAAATTACAGTGACTCGGGGATCGGTTGCTAGCATTTGTTTCCTCCATAGAAGTATGATCTTGTCATTTTTCTTTCTTTGTATTGTTGTTTAATAAATATAAGAATATATACTGGATAATCCAAAAGGTGTTTTCTATGATATACTGCAGATCTAAGCACATCTTTGGCTGGTTTTGAAGAGGCAACTTTTTCTGCCCAAGTTCAGGTAATGCACTGGAAGACTTTCCACAGCCTGTAGCAAGATTACTGTGGGAATGCAGAAATGATAAGTCAATTATTCAGCATTCGGGTTGACAGTACCTCAGGCTTTAAGAAGCAAATTATTTCAGCATTGCATGTACTTAAGTATGAACAGCATTTGCTACAGACCTCTATTACTGACAAAAGGCAGTACATGTAAATGTACTGTTTGAATTTGGAAACATGTGAGTTGCAAATTGTGAACCACTTGCCCGCTGAGTCTACTTCATGACTGCTACTTATGTTTTAATTGTGCCGGTTAAAAATCATGCTGAAAAAATTTACATTTGATAGGCAAAGTTAAGTTTTACTCCCATACTTGTCTCTCTGTAGGTTGCTAGAGGAAAGCATAAGGAAAGTAAGAAAAACAAGAGAATGAAAAGAGAAGCTGCAGTTACGTTAAAAAAGAATTTCAAGAAAAAAATGGAAACGAAGTTCTGTGTTTACTTTAGTGGCAAATATCAATTACAAATAAAGATTATATGCTAATAGTAATTATGTAATAACTTTCACCAAAATCTTTTAAAATCTGTTAATATTAAATATATTTTTACAATAAATAAGCTATTAGAAAACATAATAAAATACAGGATGGGTTAGTGACAATCTGTCCTCCTCCCCCCAAAATAACTACAGATAGAAACTAACTAATATTAACTTTATTCTCAAAGTTTTATAAGACAAAAAGAAAAACTACCATAAAGCTGCACTATACTATAGTTTGGTTAGATTGATAATGCTGGATGCAGTTTTCTATACCTAGGCATCCAAATTATCTTTATTAGCTAAGTCATGCCAGAAACAAACTCTGTCAGCAAGCTTTAGAGTCAACTGAATAGTATATTACATAGATAGGATACCTCTAAATGATATAAATCTTGAAGATGGGCTCTCGGACCATGTGATGTCAGTCCTGTAATAATATATTAAGATTTATGCCACCTGTGTCAAAAACATGGATAATTATTTGTAAATACTATCACGACTGAATTTTTTACTATACTATAATATAGTGCAGTTTTAGAAGCCTGGCATGGGCAATACCATAATTCTTTTCAACTGAGAAATTAAGGATATAATAATAAATATATGGCAACTTGAGTATTCTAGAAAAAGGGTAAAGATCAGAGCTCTGTTTGGCAGCAAAGAAAGGTAGTTGTATTCGTAAGTATAAGCACACCTGGTGAGTTAAACACGGGAGCTGAAGGGGCATTACATACAACTGTTTCAGCGAGCAATGTGTTATAGGGGTTGTTAGTGCCGTGGGGTCGAAGAAGAGGGTTTGTTAGTAGGTAATTGCCAGTCATTCCTAAAGCAAAGAAACAGAAAAAAATACATCAGTTCTCTTGTTTTAGTGTTACAGTTGCAGTAAAGTACTTTTTGTATTCATCAAGGGTAGTGGATAAGTTGGCAAAGGAAAATCTGCTGAAATTCTCTGACTGTATTTGAACTACAAATTTGAAGGAGAAAGGGGAGAGGAAAGTTAAATTTCAATAATTCACAGGTGCTTTCTAAGTCCCCCAAGTAAACACCTGCTGAGGATGACATTTACTAATTTATACAAAATCACTGTTAAACAAAAATGGCAATTAAATGCACAGAGATCAACATTATGTTTCGAGATGTTACTGCTTAATATTAAAAACCTAACCACTGAAGCCCAGAAGAGGGAATCTCAAACTTTCAGGATTTACAGGTGTGGGATTATCCCTCATGAAAACATCTGTGTTAATACCAACTTTGATACAAGCAGGAGGAAAAACAACTTTCACAAACACGTAAAAAGTATGACGCATTGCACCAAGCTTCTCTTAGTAAATGCAAGAGCACACATGCTGAGGGGAAAAAAAGAGACTGCGTATAACGAATATTAGACCATTCACCCATTCTATGTAACAAGACTTTTCCTTCTATGATCTTATTTGCCAGGTTTCAAAAATGAATCATTGAATAATTCATTTCCTTTTTGACAGTCATCTTAACAGAATTAGGTAAAACATCAGAGCAATGGAATAAACACACATTTCACTCATTCTAATTGACAAATTACAAACCTTTCAATACTTATCAAACATATGTTTTGCATAGCTAATGTAATTTGGCTAAAAATATTTTAAAATTCAAGTTGGTTTTGATGCCATACATATGCTTTTTTCATTTTAAAACAGAATCTCATCAGAACAATGCCAACAATGAAAAACGTCTTTAATATTCCATTGTGATCAAATATATTATAACAGTACATCAAAACTGAAATTACTTGATAGATTACCTTTCTAAGAACATATAAAATAATATATGATTTTTTTCATAATAAATTGAAATTTACTAAGCTTGTACTCAGGAATATGTGTCTCTGGATGCACTTGTCCTTATCTTGTTAAGTTATTTTATTTGCCATATTAATTTAAGTTAGAATTATACTGATTATGTGATGAGTATAATTGTAGACACATTAAAAATAACAATTCAAATGTAAAAGTTACTTCATAAGTTCTCACGTATGTTAATTATTTATGAAGAGTTACTATAAATGTTTTTAACATTTACTTTTTGAAAGAAATATAAAAACAGAAGAATTTTACAAATAAGATTTTTTACTACAAAACTGGCACTGTTTAATGTGAGCAGTAGTTATTCTAATTATATTAATTTTTTAAGAGAAAATGTTCATAAATGTACATTTAGAAAGGAATAATTTGTATCCCTAGGAACATATTTTAATCTGTGGCAAAGTATGTTCTCAGAAATTACATTTTTCAGCCTTACTCTATTAACGTGGAGTTTGAAATTATACTTTTTGCATTACATTATTGAATAAAAAGAATTTATATGTACTTTAATAAAGGATAAAAGATGACTCAACAGGTTTAAGAAAGAGCTTATGATATAAACTCATTTGAGAGAAAAAGTCAGTGTTTCCTCTAGAAATATTGTAAATTGGCAAAAGGCACAAAATTTATATAGTAAACTCAAATTTTCCTAGTAACTGACCTTGATTAAGTGTTGAAGTGCTATTGATGTCACCTGAGATAAAAGAAGATTCAGATTGTTTTCTCACAGTGTCATTCCACATCCTTCTTATACGACTCTATTAACATAAAATAGCAAGACACATGTTATGTTAGCTTTCCCAAGCTTACCTTACAGTAAAGAAACACAAAGATTTACCTTAAACAATCTGTGTAGGATTATCTTTTGAATTTAAAAAAAAAGTGTATTGATTCTGGTCTTAAACTAAGAAGTCTATACTGCTGTGTTTCTTCTTTATTAAGGATTATTTACTCTTCTAATCTTAAAGAAATGTTCAATTATCATCTTTGTTTAAAGTGGAGATGATGGTTGACTAACAAATGTTTATTGAATGCTCCCTGAGTCCTGTATTATGTGAGCTTAGGATATCAAACTATTGTGACATACTTCTTAAAGAAGTATAGCTCTCGAAAAAGGATGTTTATACCTAAAGAAACATCTTGCAGACATACTTAAGAAGATATTAAAACCAAAAAACTAAAGAGGGCAAGTATTTGCTACCTAGATTTTTTGCTACTGAGAAGACAATTAGTGCATCTGAACAGAACATGTCTCAGAAGGCATTCTATAGAGAAGGTTAATTAAAGATGCTGTCAAAGTCTTTGTTACCTGTGTGCCAGAGGAATAGCGAGCACTGGTTCTGGTGGTGGATGCCTTCACCGAGCTGTGGGGACTCTCAGTCGGGAGGCCGCCGCAGCAGTATGAATGTCTGAAGCACTTGCCATATTCTTTTCGTACCTGCATGGAATAACCACGAGACCAAGGGATTAATATAAACATACTTGCTCCTCTTGCTCTCTAATTAAATGAGCAGAGGAGATGAAAAGTTCCGCTAACCCTTTTCCGTGGAGATTACAAAATCAAATTCAATTGAATTGGTAATCGGAAAAACACCTCTGTCCACTAGACAGTCCATTCGGATTTTAAAGTGTGATATAACATGTAGAAATATGTTTTCTACCCTGTTATTATTGTAAAAATGTAATTAATACAATGGTAATATTTTAAAAGCCTTATTCTAGCAATAGCCTTAGTCAACCCAATTTTCTATCTCATGCCAAGAAAATAGGATAAAAATTTAGTATTTTCCTTGCTTAATTACATTTAACCACTTGTAATTCAGTCATTTAAATTTCATATGTTTTATGTCCTCTTAGGTAGGTCAATACATAAACTTCTTTTACTGGATTGCACAGTGTTGTGGGTAACTTCTTTATAATGAAAGAGTACATTGGCACAAGAATAAAGGGAAATAATGTCCTTTGATACATATGCCATTAATTAGGATGGAATGTTTTCTTCATTTTCTGATGTGTCTAGCTCTAACACTTAGTGTAGAGAGTCTAAGATGCTTATTCACTTCATTAGCACATAAGGGAACTATTTATGCAATTTCCATTCACATTAATGAGTTACCCACGTAATTTCCCTTTTCCCCTGAAGCTTGGATATATGAATAGATAGAAAAGTTCTTAGGCCTAAATGAAAGACTACAGTTTAAAAAGTGGAGTCCAAGCAATGCTAAATAATAGGGCCCCACTTAGGTGGTCAAGAATTAGGAGGAGTGGGGGATATTTCTGGATTCTGTGCAGCTATATCTTGGCATACAAATATGCTTCATGTAACTAACAGCCAGACTTTGAAATTATAAGGAGGAAGGATGAAAGGCTGCACATGAAATTATTTTTTTCTAGTAGGTTTCAAAAAACATTCAAAGCCCCCTGACAACCCTCCACACCCGCTCCCTGCAGATCATAGTTCTATGACCACTATCACTGCAAAGACCAACTTCTTGACACTTATTCCTTGGGAAATTAGAGAATTAAAGTCACTAATGACCTTTAAAATCTAAGTGCACTTGCATTTTCATTCTTTTAGCTTTATTTAATTATAGCTATTAGAACAAATAACAATGTGGTTGAACTTTCAAAGTATTTTCTTTGTCTAAATATACTCACTCAAGCAGTTAGAACCATGATTTTAACTAAATCATCTTATATTATGTTCTAACAACTCATCATGGCAATATCCAGTATGACGTATCCAAGACTAAGTAAAACTTGTTCAAATGAAGTGAAACACAGTAACTTAAAGAGATAATTGTTAACAAGCACAGCAAGATCTCTGCAAAATTAATACACAAACCCTATGAGGAAATAATGATGATGTCATTCTTTTTCTGCTAAGTTTATGCTTTATCAAAAACATCTGACAGAAGTTATAAATATGTGATCATCTGCATGTATATAACCTGCTCATCTATGTAGAAAATATATAAAAGCCAAAGTAATTACAAGGTCATACCTGTATAATATTTAGGAAGTTAAAGTTCAGTGTTATTTAAATAAGACATGATACATCAAAAAAATTTTTGCACATTTAATGGCTATTAACGGCTCTGAAATGCTAGATAACCAAGACAATGGCAATCACAATGGTATTTTATCCAAATAATACCCTCTGGTGTTGGTTTTGCCTAATGCCTATATTGCTATGAATGTACATTATCTGTCAGTATTGCACATTCCACTGTCATTATCTCAAAATTATAGCTTATTCCGAACTGATGGAAGTAACAACACTATCATCTTGTCAGGACTGAAAACTTAATAGTTTTCACTTTCACAATTCTATTTCTCTGTTCAATTTAGTGACCAACTAGTAATAACAGAATAAAAAGACTACATTAGATATGCAGACAGGGAAAGGATGATACCGAGTGAAAGGCATGGAAATTTTAAACTTAAATGGCAGCCAGTTTATTCTCTTAGGTTTACATCTTACAATAGATTAAAATTTTTCACCTGCAACTTTAATTTTTGAATCATTTTTGCTGACTCCACTTAACATTAAATCAGGACAAAATAATAAGATGGGAAATATGAAATTATTGGGTTTTAAATTCTTTCAAAATTACTCAAAAGGCAACATTAATATTCATACTTATATATCTTCTGCTTTTAAAATTTATGCCATTTAACCTTATACTCAATTTTTGTTTTGAACTACTGTATTCCTTATACTGAGAAAGAACAAGATTATTTAAATTTTTCTTTATCTTGTATACCCTCTGCACAAAGCATTTTTGTAGACATAAAAGAAAAAATCTTATAAGTATATAGTTTATAATATTGCCAAATTGAGATTCAAGAGATGACTGGTGTTGACATATCTTATATGTGAAGCCTGAACCTCCTGACTTGCATTACAATTAATTTATGAGTAAAATATGATACTATTAATAATATGCCAATGGTAACTTAAAATCTCTATTAAATGTATTATTTTCAAATCAAAGAACAAGTTTTCACTTACTTTCTTTTGGAGAGCACAGTGAAAGATGAAAATGAACACTCCCTGGAAAGCATTAAAGATGGTGAAGAGATATGCCATCACAATAGTCTCCTCATTAATAAAAAGCAACCCAAATGACCAGGTTAGGCCAAGAAGACATAGAAGAGCGAACGCGCCAAGCACCCAAGACCTGAAAAAATAAAGTGAATTTTATTACCAGATTCAATGAGAGAACAACACATATCACACTTAAATATTAGCATATCATTAGTAGCAGTTGACTTTCTCTATGTTCATATTCAAATTCAACAGCATTTTGGCTTTAACCTTTCATTGATTAAAGAAAGAACAATAGCATTTAGTACTGCAGTCTCCAGTGAAAACAGCAACAGCAGGTATGACCTTTTCTTATTCAGAATAAATAAGTATGAAAACTATATTAAAATACAAGGTGTAAATTAACCCCCATGACTCTATTGTCTTTTATGTGCATTGTGGTAAAAGAAATTAAGGAGTCCTTAATTAGTTTACTCCTGTATTTTTATTCCTGTGGTGCACTCATGACACTGAATAATGTGACACATACAGAAAGGTTAAATGGCAGATAATCACTTAACACCTGAACTTCAGATTCTAGGAAACTAATCTTAGGTGAACCTAAGGTTTTATAACTAAAGCATGAAGAAGCCTAGCTGAAATGGGACAAAAACATGAGAACAACTTCAAAATAAAATAATTTTGGAGAGATTTCATCATGAATAGCTTAAGGAAAAAAGAACTGTAGAAAATAGGACGGAATGAAAGGATTTAAAGTCAGTGCATTCCATGTCTAACTAATGATCTTACTTGATAAATGGCTTATTATCTTCATAGCTAGAAAGCATTATAAGCAGAAAAGAGAAACAAAATTATTAGACAGAATTAAAATAGAAAGTAATAAGAAAGCATTTATATATTTTATAAAATTAGTCAAAATTAAGAAAGTCAAAATGCAGAGGCAAGCAATTAAAAAAATAAAGGCATATTATAGTTTAAAATACTCTAGCAAATAAGATATTCCAAAATAATTTAAAAATTAAGGGCAATTCATGATATTGACGGATTTGTAAAAATATAAATCATGCCATAAATTTGTTAATGTAGCATTCTACCTTACCCAGGTAAGTCCGTATTATAGTAGCCATCACAAACACGGTAATTACTGGTGTAGATGAGAAGACAGAAAGAGGAAAAGGAAGAAAAGAGAGAGATGCTAAAGATTAGCTCTCTCTCTTACCATGCAACATGCAATGAAGCTGGCACTAACCTATCTAAAACATCTAATTTAAAAAAAATTACCTTTACTATAAAATCTGCCATTTTTAACATTTAAAATATTTTCTACACCCCATTATAACCAACTTGAACAATATCTCCTCAGATTTTAAATTAACTCATATTTTAAAAAATAACTCTGAAAACTCTATCAGTTTTTTTCAACAGCTATCAATTTTTTGTAATTGGATAGCACTTTTTCCATTGATATTTCGGTTTTTTCAACCCTGAATTAAAGTAAACATTTATTTAATTATCATGAAAACAACAGATAATCTCCAAGTTAACAATAGTAATGGAGCAAATTCTCTTAGGAAAACAGGATTAGAAGTAGAAACTGCTCAGAATCCTTAAATCAAAAAGTCATTTAACAAAACAAACTTAATATAATCATATCAGTCATGCAAACAGGAACATCATTTTGAACTGCATTTTAAATTTAAATGAGATTGCTATTTTATGGAATTTCCATAAAGGCACTAAAACAGTTTTTTGGCTCTAGATCATGACAGAAATTATTATCTAATTTCTGACCATTGTCTGTGACATGGTAACAGTGAGATTCAAACTTGATCAGTAAAATTTCATTCTGAATAATTTCTACAGTTGAAAGATGGTATTCATGTATTCGCTGTGGAGAATATCTTTCACTTAGTTTGTCAAGCACTAAAATTAAAATACAAAATACTTACTTAATGTTTTCCAACCTGCTAGAATCTGGTTTTAATGTGTTCGAGTGCTTCACCATTTTGCATAATGTGATCACCAGAAAGATAATATTTAGCTGTTACAACAAATAAAGAAAGAATTAGATAACTATGAGAAAAAGTTAAATACATTATTACAATATACTTAATGGGTTAATGCAGTTAAATATCAATAACATGAGTATATGGTAGACACTGACTCAATTTTAGTTTACTTATCATTACTTAGGCAATGATCAAGTTGAGTCTACACGAAAAATTTTCTGGCCATATAGGACTGATTTTTTTAATAGATCATTTGACATGAAATTGCAACCTCATTAAATAAGTATCATGTGGTGATGACTAAATAAATTAAAGCCTAGTGTCTTTAGCTAGAGGTACTACGGGGCTAAACACCATCTAATGAAAATATGAAGTGAGTTCTTTAGAAGGAGCATTTACATTATGCAGTTTATAATGGAAATATCTCTGAATTTGGGACCCTAAAACTTAGTTGAGAGTCTAGTTCTTGATTTTGACTGATAAAATGAGGAAAATAAGATTTTAACAATCCTTTTGTAAGGTAATGTTTAAGGATCAAATGAGATAACTTATGAAATATGGTCCCTGGTTATATAAACTAAGATAAACTTTTAAAAAATAAAATTTATTTGCTATTTAAGTGTTAAAGGCCATCATTTCTTTTTTCCCGATGTCTCTACACTGAATGCAAGTAGGTAAATTCTAAAGAAAGTCTGTTTTGAGTCCCTCCAAACACTCAGTTATGCAGCGATTACTAACGGGAAGATGGAACCTGACATGGAAGAACAGTCCGGGAATCAACCTAAATGAACTTCAGAAGAAAAAGGGGTGTGTTTCGATTGAGAAGAGTTAGGGATATGTAATTTCCATTTGCTTCTATGGAAGCCTGGCAGAATGCTGCACGGAGTGAAGGCAGTTCCATTTTTATGCCCCAAAAATAAAACTATGCTAAATTGCTATTGTTTTTTTTTTTGACATTTTATTTACTTCAGAATACTACTTAAAAAGACAAAATGAAGTTATTTTGTGAGCATTGTGATTAAGTGCAAGCACAAATGGTATATTTAGAAATATGTAAAAACAAAAGCAATTCCTTAGTGGTAAATAATCCACATAACTTTGTCACAGTAACATAATTTTTACTGAGTCACAAAACCATCTGATAAAATGATAACACTATTTTACTCATATATCACTACTTCTGATTTTGTAATTAGGAAAAATGATGTAAGGCAATAAAGAAAATTTCCAAGTCCTTTCTAATGAATTTAGGAACACAGCAAAAGCTTTAATCTAAGCCATATATCAGTCCTTTTGTCTACTGCACCTTGTTATTTCTCTTAGATGTAGAATTTCCTCTTAAGGACTAAAATGAGGTTAATGGGAATAATTTGCAAGTGCTGGCAGATAGCATTCCATTGTTTGATGTTAATTACTTGAAGACAAAAGAAGCTCTTCACTTAAAAAAGCACTTAAAAATTAATTTCTTAAAATATTGGCCTAGAGAAAAAGTAAATAATTTTGTAAAAAAAAAAATTCTAGCTTTGTATTCTGGAGGTTATAAAGTCCAGTTAGTCATATATAAATAAAGGCTTACATTTTCAGGGATATTACAGTATCATGCATTTCATTCAACTAATATTTATTGACCTTACTGCTCTACATAAGAACCTGCTTATTGTATTGTGGGTAAGACACAATTTATTGCCTTTGAGAAATTAGGGAGATTTTTCTGATAGTACAATAAATATTTAATTTGGTTTTTAAAGAATCATGGTACAGTTATCTCTATAATTTTTGTAAAGACAAAATGAGCAATGTTTTTATTTTTTATTTTATATAACAGTAAGCCTTAACCAGGGCAATTTAGGAATGATTAAAAACAAGTACTCTACAAAACAAACAAACCAAAACCCATTTAAAGAAACAAACTGATTACAACTCTTAGGTAAGAATGGCTGCCTTAACAGCTTCAAAGTCAAAATCATTTAAATGTTTTGACCCTTCTTTTTGAACATCCTGATGAAATCATTTATTTATTACAAACTTCCAGACTTAGGGTTGCCCCTCCACTCTCACACTTTTTCTTAAATAATTTTCCAAAGCACAAAGGGCCACAGTTTGGAGCTAATTATTTTCTAAGCATATTAATTATCCCCTCAGGAATAAAATAGTAGTACATTTAAGGAAAGAAAATATATTGTTTCGAGAGAACAGCATTGAAACATGTATATTATCTAGGGTGAAACAGATCACCAGCCCAGGTTGGATGCATGAGACAAGTGCTCGGGCCTGGTGCGCTGGGAAGACCCAGGGGGATCGGGTGGAAAGGGAGGTGGGAAGGGGGAATGGGATGGGGAACACATGTAAATCCATGGCTGATTCATGTCAATGTATGACAAAAACCACTACAATACTGTAAAGTAATTAGCCTCCAACTAATAAAAATAAATGAAAAAAAAAAGAAAAGATATTATCCACTGTCATGTCAAAACTACTAATACAAGGAAAGAAAAGAATGTGAATGTAAAAAAATATGGATGTATCGAGTATTATGCCATAAAAAGAAAACGAGTAGAAAATGTGAAATTGTGGGGGTGAATCCATTCAAACATATTTTTCAATGAAGAAAAACCAAGCAAAAAAAAAAATCAGGTATTTAAGAACTAGCTCATTTTCTAATAAAATTGAAATAAAAATGAAGTGTACCTATGTAAAAATAGAGCTTAAATATGATACAAAGACATTTTTTTCTTGTTAAGATAGAACTAACCAATTTGGAACTGCCACAGAAAACATATTTCATTTACTCCTTAAAAAACATCTCCCCTTCTCTTCCCCTTCCCCTACTGAGGGTTTCTTAATGTATACATGTTCAGTGTTTCTTCCTAGCTGCAAACATGCACACGACATAAAGTTCAGACAATACAGAAAATTACAGGGAAAAAGAAACAGCACCAAAAACCTATAATCCTATTCCAGAAGTGCGTGCGTGCTAAGTTGTTTCAGTTGTGTCCACCTCTGTGAGACCCCGTGGACTGTAGCCCACCAGGCTCCTCTGTCTATGGGATTCTCCAGGCAAGAATACTGGAGTGGATTGCCATGCCCTCCTCCAGGGGATCTTCCCGACCCAAAGATTGAACCTGCATCTCTTAGGTCTCCTGCACTGGCAGGTGGGTTCTTTACCTCTAGGTGCCACCTGGGAAACCCACTGAATTGATTATTTTACAAATTTGTGATGTTGAGTATATTGCCAAAGACTACATAGCTTCTATTAATATACTGTCAATGCTGAGATTCAATATACTGTCTTCTAGCTCCATGGCCCAATCTTGTCAATAAAATAGGCCAGTTTATTCTGGTTCAGAAAATTAGGAATCTCCAGCAAAAAAAGGATATACTATACAAAGAGTTTTGTAAATTTTTAAAAGGTTCCACTTCTATAAAGAATAATCTAATTACAATTCAATAAGAGATGATAAATGAATTGATATAGTATTAATATATAAAATTAATACATAAAATCCTGTATGAATGACATAAGAAGGTGTGCTTCTCAAATGATTCCCATTTGATGGACTTGTCATAATAACCAATTTTCCATTCCCTTTGCAAAACACTACCATCCATAATCAGCAAATGGCTAAAATGCCCACACACTATTCCTACTAGCCAAACTGTACATTGAATAGTTTTGTTTTCTTAAACCTGATTGTGCTAGTTATATGCACATACAGATAAATATCACACAAACCAATAAAATCCTAGCGGGGAAAAAAAACTGTTGTTTCTAACTTATTTAAAATTGCTTCCAAAAGGTGTTCCTAAAGTGAGTCTATTTAAAAAATAAAATCTAAAATCCTAGAAAAATAATCATAAAACCACAGTAGAATTCTTGTATCAGATTCTTTCACAAGTGCCTGTGAATTCTCTAATTTACAGAAACTGAAGATAAAAATTTAGCCAAGGCACTAGCAGTCAGGTTGCTAAGAAATTTAGTTAAATCTGACGCTAATTTAATCTTTGAATTGTGACGATACACAATTAATGAGGCAATGGTATCTTTAACAGGATATAATATCATTATTTTAAGACAAATTATGAAAAAAGACATGCAAGACATTGTGAATCATAAAAGCAAAAATGCTAAGTGTGAACTATTTTTCTTCAATGCCACATTAAAAATCACTAATATATATTATTTCTGGAAAAAAATGTCTACTATCTAAGAATTGAACATTTTAATACATTATCACCAAAATACACGAGTGAAATATTTTCTGAAATTAAACAAAATATTTACTGAAGTATAAACAAATTTTTAAAATTTTGATTTAAAGTTCTCGTATTTTCTCCAGTGTCTAAAACTGCAAATGCTAATTTTTAGTGTCATTGATAAAAATTGTTCCTATGATCTTTCTCAAGAGGCAATGCATTCAAATAAGTCATAATTTTGTATAATAAGACATTTCAATAGATTTTTTCTTCTCTACTCTTGTTCTTTCAAAATATAATTATGTGAATCAAAACAAGAAACAGAGGGGCAAAAAGAAACATCTCTGACAAAATCTATTGTTCAAAACAGTCACCTGAAGACTGACAACCTTAGTTTCAAATGACATAACTCAGTGTTTTTGTCTTAGCATTTTCCCTATGACATAAATGGCTATTTCCAGCCATATACCTTTGTGCTTTTTATGTTTCTGTTTAGAGTATGTGATTTCTTTCTCATCGCTTTTTTCTTTCTGATTTATTTTCCTGCCTTTCTTATGCATTTAACAAATGAAATCACAACCATCAATGAGGATTTCTCCCTATTTCCACTAGAAGGCAGGCAAAAAGGATGAGAATTATCTTCACCATCCAACCACTATTGTTATCCCTTCAAGTCCAATGAAACCATTTTTTGACCTCATGTTCTTTTTCTTTCCAACATAAATGCTACTAAGTTTAAACTCAGTATTTTGGGATAAGTTGAAAGGTGTTATGCATCAGTGAGAAACGAAAAAGATGGAGTTACAGCTATGTACATAAAGATTTGTCTAGAGCTGGTATATATGTCGCTAATCATTCATGTAGAAGCCTCTAGTAAGTACAAGGTAAAAGGGTTGTGCTACATGTTTTATGTTAATTCACCAGCCTAAATGTCCATAATGAAGATTAAGTTTGGAGATGAAGCAACTCATCCAGGAATTAATCAGATTTTAATTCTGCTGTCTCTCTATGTGTGTACACAGGTAAACAGATAGGTATCTCTTAATGGAATTCTATGTGAAAGAGTGAAAGCAAATTGAAAAGAATTTCAGCTAAAAAGTGTTAAATTGCTAAACAGGGCATTTTCTCTTCTAATAACAAATAATACTATCCTCCTTATCCCCCCAGAATAATTTCATAAATTACTGCTAAAACACTCTGCCAGTGTAATTTGCTGATAAAATTCATCACTACTTGATGATATGGATTAGCTAATTCTCACTCACACTGATGATCATGAAAATACAAAGAAGTTTAAAGAAAGAAAAAGGTACCATAGATTACAGAAGTGCACGGTTTGTTTTAAAGCCATCCACCTGCTCAACTGAATCATATCCGTCTGAGCTTAGCAGCTTAAAATTCATTCCACAGCTTGCAGTGCTGACATGGATATGATAAGACAGAAGAACAGAAACACCACTCTGAAGTAACCTAACTGAACTGCACATGTTCTGACCCTTTTTGTCCTCCCTAGAGCTTTTGCTACCTAGCAAATGCAACTCTAAAACTGCACTTGTATCTCCAGATCTTTGCTGTTAGCCAAGCAGAAACCTATTTCTCCCTGGGACTAGCAGCCAGGGAGGTGTTCTCAGAGGAAGACTTCTAAATGAGTGTGTGAGCTGAACTCTTACTGAACTGAATTAATTATTAATGATGCAGATGGAGCTGTCCAAATGATAAGAACAGCTCCTGACGTGTCATGATCCAAGCTTTCATTAAACTATTTCAGGCATACTAATGGTTTCCCACTGCTCATTACTTACAAGCACTTTTCTCATAGATATAATAACTCTAGTGCCTGTAGGCAAGACATCCTATAGAAATACAGAAGTAGGAAGTTTTATCTCCTATAACATGTTTTTTTTTCCTTCATTGAAAATGATGAAAAATGTACACTTATTTAATACTACTAAAGTTACATGATTTCAATTCAGAAAGCTGGAGATACAAAACTATGCTTTCTAGGAATATCAATATGTATTTTTTGTTACTCCTTAAAAGGGTAGTATACAATATAATTTATTTTGTGTAATTTGCTAAACTGTATCTGCACTGATTTTTAAATGACCTATATCACCATAAGGAGATATATACACACACACATTAATAAACATGTGCTGAAAAATCATATATCTCACTTTAGGTTACATTTGAGATAATGTTTTACACTTCAGTACAATTCTTTGTCTTTCTATGTTGGGACGATTAGAGGGCAAAGCAATTGAAGGAGAATTACTCCAAGGATCTGTACTGTGACTGCTACCTGCTGTTTGTTTTGTTTTTTAAGTTGAGAACACTGTTCCCCAAAGCCCTTCACATCTCAATATAAATGATTTGGTAGAAGATAATAATGATAGGGCTATAAAATAATAGTGGGCTCTCACTATAAATGGGCAACATAATAAAACATCCTTCTTTTCTTGCTGGAAGCTGAGGATAAATGAACATTAACTCCTTTTGCCATGTGAAAGGTTTTTTAATATTCTAAAGTCAGTATTTATCTTCTGATATAAAAAAATGAAAAATAAAGAAAAACTGCAGTAGGACAGATGTATAGATCAAATATCCCTACATTGGTCTTTACAATTTTCAAGGTATCAATGTTTGGCCAACAGCTCAGGGAAAAAAGAAGCCTGTGTCTTTGAGGACCATACCTCTTCAACTCAGCTGTTTGTCATTTAAATCAAGATAGACTCAGGCTGTGTTAACTTAAGTAAACCAAGAATAAACACTGGGGCAATCATCTGGATTGAATAACTCTGATGAGAAATCAACTTTCCAAGGAACACTTGGGAGTGTTTTACTGGTGTGCTTACTACAGGCATTCATCTCAAATTTTCATTTTACTTTTATAAGTAACTGTATAAAATGATTCATTTTAAGGACAAAAGTATATACACTTGAGATAGTTTTAAGTGTCCTTGAACTACTAACATTTTTTCTTAATATTATTAAAATACTAGTAACTATAATACTACTAACCATAGGAAATATCTTAATAAGCTTACTGTGTCACTTTTTTATAGAAAAAACAACCTTAATAGAAATAAAAAGGCATAGATGATATATAAAGTTGATTATGCTTCATTTTCAATCTTACAATAGTCAGAAACCATTATTTATAACAGCATGATGTTAAAACTGAGTGAATAGCTTTTAAATACTGAAATCGAAATATTTTAGCTTTCATAAAAATTTCAACTATATTTCAAATATTTGATTAGTGATAATTTAAGTAAAAAAACCTTAATGTCTTTTACTTAAGTTGTATTAAGTTCATTTTAAAACAAAATTTCTTGGAAACCAATATGTGCATTTGGTATTTTAAGTCAGAAAAATAATTTTATTTCTAATGAATTTAAAATTCATTTAGTATTATTTTATTACTGTAAGCTTAAAAAAAATAACTGTTTTGTCCCTTAAAAAGAATCTGGGTTTGGAATTTATTTAAAAGTACTAAATTACTAATTAGAAATATGATAATAAACATTAACCTAATTTTCTTTTACTTCTATAAAACATTTATTTAATTCATAAATGCTATACAGGCTTGGTGCAGAGCTAATACTATAGATTATGGAGACATAACTACCTAAACTAAACCTCTTAGTAAAAAACTTCACTAGTCAAAAACAGAATATGCTACATGTATTATTCCTTTCTAATTCTCAAACTACTTTCAAATCATACAATCTTAACATGGCTTTTATATATACATTTACATATATACATATATAAGATTATGACATTGCACATCTGCAAACTAAATTACAAATGAGGAAAAAAGTACTTCTTAAAAGAAAGAGGGTTTTCAGAAATAGTACTAATTAGCACATATATAAACTCTCAATAACTATATCATAGGTAAAATATAATTATTTTCTTTTGTAAGCTAGACATGTTAATAAAATCTTTGCATATATAGACAGAGAAACAGTAAAACAAATTATCCTTACTTCCATTGTACAGCTAAAACGGCAAAAATAAAAAGGAAAGAAAAGCAAAGTCTGCTTACCAGAATAATGAAGGTAACAGGTCCAATGAAACTCCATATAAAATAGTTATCAACATGAAGCCAGCAACTATTAGGAAAAGAAAAGAACATTAAGTGGATCCTCAATATCACAAGTAAGACAGAATTTTAAAAATCTAACAAGCAAAACTATCTTTACAGTTGCCTCTGAAAATTAATTTATCATGGACAAGAACAATTTTAATAATTGAGCTGGCTCTGACTTAAAGAGTAGTAATTATTTACCTCAAACTACTGTTCTTCATTTCAGGTTTTAAATCTGATAAAGACATACATAATTGTATCGAGAAAACAATAACCTCCCACCCCAATCCTGAAAAATTAAAACCTCTCAATTTACTAAGAAAAACTTAAAACTCAGCATTCCAAATTGTCTCATTGGTCTTATCTTCAAAATTTGCCTTCCGGATCTACATCTGAGCTAAAATGTTTCACCCATCTGGAACACAAAGGATAAGAATAAAATAAGTGTTCAGATGTAATGTTTGTTGTAAAACAGTATATCACAAATATAACATCTCAATTGGGAATGGATGGATACTAGGGGGAAAAAAAAAATCCAAGCATAGAATTCATACATTATTAGAGTAAATGATGCATAAACTTATTAAGACAGATTTTACTTAGTAGTTCATTCTTCATACAACATTGAATCCCCAACGAATTTCTTTTGTCTTTCATCATCTGTGTAGTCAAAAAGCTTTTTTTAGTCCAAAGAATCTTTATATAACTAATTTTATCAAAGGAAAAAATAAACAGAATTGGAAGGCAAATTCATGCCTCTAGCAAACAAAATCCTTAGAAACATGGCTATGTCTACCTTCTGTCACTTTCCATAAATATCTGTATTTTTTTTTTATAAATGAATGACAGTCACTTATTTTAATCCTTTCAAACTGCCTGATAAAATATTATCAAAGTAAAACATATGGGATGGAATGTGGTACTGTCACAATTCAAAACAAGAGTTAGCTAGAGGGTCGGCTGCACAAAGAGAGCTAATGAAGCATTAGCTTAAAAACTGAGTAGTTAAACCTGTCAGATGCTTTAAGTTCAGAAGAATTTCTTGCTTAATATCTTTCTAAGGCTAAAAAGTTATTTACTTTTTCAATTTGTTTCAGGTCAATCTTTTGTGTTAAAAAGAAAGTCCATAATTTAGAATCTGCCTCGCCAGAGTACAAATCCTCTGAACCTAGAAAATTACAAAAGACTTGATTGTAATTTGTGCACGGCATGCCCATTCTCTTACCAATAAAGCTTTCAGATGCTATTTTAGTCTGTCAGGGACCCTCACTGACAGCTAACAGGCTTTAAAAAAAAATTATTCACTTGAAAAACACTCAGGTCACTTGCAATTACTTACGCTTTTTCTGTTCCATAGCTCTTATAGTCAATAGCAGCTGAAACTCCAACCACTGTGGCAGGAAACAAGTAACCGGCAACATAGTAGTATTTCTTTCTTGAATATTCACTTTCAAAGACTTCAACCAACATTAGATAGAGCTGAACACCTTCTAGACACATCCAAGCAAAAGCAGCCAAAAAGAAAAAGTGTAACAGTCCTGCAAATATTGGGCATGCAATCTATAAGGAAAGAAGCAAAAACACAAAAGGGAACACATCAATATAAACAGACCACTCCAAAACTATATCGTATTCACTGATAGTGTCTTTAAGATACATCATTATTTAAATGACTGCCTCTTAAAAATCTTTTATTTTAATAAGTGAAAGTACTGCTAAATATGACTCAATGCTTATGAAGTGTAATGCTAGATGTGCTAAAAATATCATCATTATAAGACATTTATATTTTTAGTAAAACTAAACGCAAATAAGAAAACATTAATTTCTCTTCTAGAATTACATATTTTAAAATCTGAATATTCTATTTGTAGATTGTTTTAAAAATCTTTAGAAAAATTGTTCCCAAAAACATAAGTTCTACTTTTTTTCTATTATAGAATTTTAAAAATTTTGCTTTAATGGTAAATATACTAGCTCTAATTAGTTAACATCATTTTCCTGTCATATGTGGAGCATTCTCCAATTCATTCTATGGTGTAAACCATTAACTAAGTTATCTTTCTTACATTGAGACCTCATGATAAAGAATAAATTGCTCAGATTATGAGGAAATGATCACTGGTCGGAATGACTTGGTAAACAAAATGAAAAATTTAATATTATCTTTTCATTTTAGTGTCCCCAGCATTCTTCTACTCAAATTACGTGTTTTATTAAAACCCAGAACAATGCAACTGTACCTTAATATAAGAAATGAATTAACCCACAATATTACTTTACGATTGGGTTGTCTTTTATTACAAATTATCCTTTAATATTGCCATGTCAACTATATTAAGTTATAAGGTCAAATATTAACAGCAGTGTATGTGGATAACTTGTTATAATAATAATTTTCAGAGATCCAAGGTCACAAATGGAAGGGGTGCTTACCATGTATTTTGTCTTATCAATGCCTATTAGGAAAATAAATTCAGCAATAAAAAGGTTGATACAAAGGTTCTTGTGAATAGTATTACGGTCACTCTGTAGACCACGGAAAAAGCAGAAAGTGAAGATGCAGATAGCCAGACAAACAAGGGAAATGACGATTCCCACCCAGGTGATGACTGTAAGGAGTAATTCATGAACTCCATCTTTGTACTGAAAATAAAAAAAATAAATATGAAGGACTTTAGTATTTTTATGTTACATTAAATAAATATAATATGAGTTACACATGTGACAGTTTGTCTTTTAATACTAAACTCTGAATATTCATGTGTGTTCAAATGGGGCTCAATGCGAAAACAAATTTTTTTTCAATCATGTAACAGTTCAATACTATCTTATTGAATTTTATATTCAAAGAATGATCTATGAAAGTAGAAGATTCTACTTAGAAAATGACTGAAATTTTTACCTACATAAACACAGAAAACATTTTATAATAAAGAATACTTATTTAAAAATAATTGACATTTTAATGAATTTCCAGACTAACAAATAAGTCATATTTTAAGTTTTAATTTTCTCCTTGAGATTTTATATACTAAGAGTTAAATACATAGTAGATCTGAGAGTTTTCATGCTGTAGTTCTTAAAATATTTTTATCTTCTGGGTATTGTTCTCTTAATCAGAAGAAGAAATGAATTCTAAAATATCCCAGAAGTCTTTCTGATCTTTCAAAATCTGCAGTCTTATCGAGTGTGCAAAGTGCTTGGGAACTTACAGAAAAGTTTTGAAATGAGATTCAAACATTTAAGATGGGGAGGGCATGTTAATATTTAAAGCCTCTGTCTCTTTTATATAATCTATTATTGCTGTTAGCTTTTTAAATCCCTGACGCCTCTGCTTAACACCTGACCACAGGGGAAAAACTTAGAACAAGTCTATGAAGTACATGATTTTGAGAAGTAACAATAAATATAGTGTCGAAACTGCCTAAAATACATGGACAGTGTAGAAACAATTAGAAATCCACATTACTTTGTTTGCTTTTTAGTTATGATAAGCACCCAAAGAAGGGACAATTACACAAGCTGTTTTGAATCTCTGAGGTTTTTCTCTGCTACTAATTAGAAGTGCAAATACTTACTGCAATTTCCCTGTGGGCCATGAGAATTGCAAAATTGGTTAGGTGGCTGCATGCACACGTCGTGCGAGTTTTATTAGTGTCAACCAGCTTGCAGCCCTGGGTAGACCAATATCCCATCATAGTTCTCTCTGAGTAGTTCCAGAAGGAGCAGTTTGCATTGAAATAATTGTCAGGCTGGGAAATAAAATGACAAGATAAAATTAGGATTTTATACTCTAAGATGGCAATAGCAATTGTTTAATATGTGTAAAAGGTAATTTAGATTAAACTTTTGCATGTTTCGGACTATAAAGTTTTTCATCAGCAAAATTGTAGACTATGTTATACAAGGCAGATATCTAACTTAAAAGGGGCTTTATAGTCCGAAACACTCTAAAGTGTACTCTAAATTACCAAAGACCCATTTTACACAATTACAATTTTCATCTTCTGATTTTACATACTGACAGTACATCAAATTCATTTATTCTTTTCTGACAAAATTTGCTCTGATAAATTCTAAATGGACCAAGTGTTTAAAAATCCATCTTATTTTGGGCCTATTTTTGTTCTAAGGGACCAATAGAGATGATTCAAATCCTATAGTTAGTACGTCAAGGTTCTAAAGAGAGTGAAGCAAACTACAGAAAATATGAGAAGAAAACAGCCACACAATGTATTGTTCTTTGCCAACCCTGGAGATTTACATGGCTATCTATGCCCACTTATTCACTCCACTATAACTACAGCCAAATTCTGCAGACAATCTTCCAACACAGTGCAATTATTTAACTACTAACTTGCGTCCTAAGGTATAGAAGAGGAATCACATCTCTTCAATTCTCTATCGTTAAAAAAAACACTGCTTGATAATGTGTGTTAATACAATCAGTAAAACAAACCAAAAAGATCTGCCACATGAAAAAAGCAGAGTCCTAGTACTCTATTATCATGCTGGTAAGGTAAGAGTTAATTTTCATTCTAAAACAAATTACAGGCATTTACATTTTCCTGTTGATTACTGAATTAGCTTTCATTAAGAATACACTTAAATTCTAATAATCACTGAACCAGGCTCATTTAATTTTATGTTCACAGACTTAAATAAACTTGTGTCTCTGACCTAGCCCAACATTTGAAATTCAAATAGGAAGTCTTTTCTTTCCTCTCTGCCACTTCTCCATTCCCCTTCTCTCAATCCACAACATGTCGGTTTTGCTTTCCGTCCTCACTGGTTTTATAACCTTCCACTACTTCATTAGCATACGTAACTTACATCAATGTGTGGTAAGGTAAAAAGCACAGGATCTGTCAAGTATACTCGGCTGGATTCTTTATTGATTGAAACTGAAATGACGTGGGAATTCACTGCAATGGTGCTATTTCGACCAATTAAGTCAGCACCCAGTTTTATGGTTGCATTTTCGGTACTAAGGAACTGTCCCAGACTCCGGTAAATAATGAACACCAACTTTGCAAGACCTAGGAAGGTAAAAACAAGTCATATGTCTTTACAGAAAATATGCTTATGAATAAGATAAGACACAGTAAAGTAACAAAATGAAATCTTCATTAAATCTTTATTCAGATTAAGTTTACTGGGAAAGAGTAGGTGTTATTTTAAATCTGCTTTTAAATGTTAAGCCTTATTTGTTATATTAGGAGTCAAATACTCAGCATTTTAGAATTAACAGGTTTAACTAAACAAAAAACCTCAGTTTTTAAAAGACTTTGCTCCATCTTACCATTCCTGCTGTTCTGTTTGACCGTATTTGCAGAGAGCTGGATTGAGCTGCCTGCTCCTTTGATGCCCAGAGGAAATTTAAAGTCTTGGACCTGTCCTTCTGTGCTGAGGACTGCAACTTCCAGAACTGGATAAGGTAAAAGATAAAGGAGGAGAACAAAGGGGCATTCTTTATGTTCACCGACAAAAAGGCAAACTGCACAGAAACCACTATTCTCCTTGTTTACTATTCTAAAAACTTTAGTGTTCAATTACAACAAAATTATGAACAAAAAAATAAACTATTCTAAGAGGTCTTAAACTTTACTACTTTAAAAATTTTGGTGTAATCGTTTTAAAGTTTTCTTTAGAGTTTTAGATATCTTTTGTCAACTAATTCTAGTCTTTTGGCCTATGAATATGAAATGTCTGATTTATAGCACACAACTATCAAAGTTTCACAGAAATCATGTTAAACAAAAATATCACAAAATTATTTTTTGGCTCTATGTTAAAGTAATTTTCAGTGACCATTACTTGGTGATGGTTAAACACAATAAGAAGTATAAAATTTGAATACCTCTACTGCATGTAGATATCTATTTCTATGTATTGCTACATAATGTATTTTAATACATAAGATTACATAGGTCAATTCTGCAGTAATAAGTTTTCTATAATTTCTAAAAGTAGTTGCCCAGCATAGCATTATTTATGAGAAAATGTCTATGTCTGGCATTATGTTCATACTTCCCATTAATTCTCACTAGTAGTGATCAATTTTTACATCCTCAAGTTGGGCAATCTGGTCGGCCACTTGTTTTGGTAAGTAATGTTTTACTGGGACTCAATTATCTATTAACATATTGTCTACAGCAGTTAAGTATTTGCAGCTCAGGCCACACGGCCTGCAAAGCTTAAAATGTGTACTGATACTTGGATTTCTATAGAAAAAGTTTGCCAATCATTGCAGTATGATCCAAAGCTCAAAAATTCTAATGAGGTAGGAACAGTAGGAAACATGTTAGGAAATCAAGTCAAGTCAATAAAGAAACATTAAGAATATTTATATGATCAGCAAGACTGTTTAAAAAATACTGCTCCACTCTGCTTAAAAAATACAGTAGTAATATTCTCAACATAAATTTTGTCTACTATCATTCCAATAAAAGTTATAATACTTTATATCAGCATACATTTATTAAAAAGAACAAAAAAGTATTATTGCAGCATACACTTATTAAAAAGAATGAAAAATATTACTGTTTCTACTAAACTATTTCATACTAGTAATCAGAATGTGCCATTTATTGATGAAATGAAAGGAAATGGATGGAAAAATTTTCATTTCATATTTCAGATATTTGAATTTTTAAAAGTAACACATAATTCAATAAATACAGTCCACATACTTTTCTCTAAATTTTACCCTCTCTGATGGCATATATCCTTGAATAGCTATTTCTGTACTTAGATAAACATGTATACATGTGTTTGTATGTGCATACACATGCACATACACACAGAGTGTGATGAATTCACTTACTGCCTTTTAGGAAAACGAACTCATACCATTATAGAGTAACTCTTGGATGCTATTTTTAAAAAATCTTTCTCAACTTTCTTTTGTAAAATACTTACAGATTCAACTATAAATATGAAATCATAAAATTACAGAGATTTTTATAAGCTACGAGGCCACATGTCAAGCACCTGAAATATAAGTTTATAATGATAGACCTATAACTCTTAGAATTCTACCTGCTGCAGAAGCTGGTTGAGATACTTTGCTTAGAAAGATTAAGCAGGTGAGTATATAGATGATCACTTCCATGTGCGTGGGTAATGCTTTGAAGGAGACAAGATGAATGACAAAATAAACACATCTAAAATATACCTCCTTCTTCTTCACACTGAAAGGGGTTCTCAATTATTAATTATTCTTAAAACAAGACAGAAGACAGAGTAGAAGGCAATCTTTTAAGCATTCATGAAATATCCCAAATATATATGAACAAAGAGTTGATTTCATTTAACTTAAAATAATGTCAATAGTAAAAATAATTTTTTTGAATTTTCAAAAACAGGACCAATGATATAGATCTTAGCAGAGATGCAATAATCAACTCTATACTACAAACAAAGATAAAGGGAAAATTTCCTAGAAATAAAACTGACTAAAATAAAAATTCAACAGTTTATGATCACTTAAGAAAATGAACTCATGGTTAAATATATACTGAATCTTTAACAAACTGATCCAGTAAGTATTAAAAAAATGTTTTTCAACTCATTTCATAAGATATAAATAATCTTGATGTATAAAACAGTAAAAAGAAAAATTACCGAATATTCTCACTTATTTAAAGTATGTAAAACATTTAATTATACATATATGCTAAGTATATCCTAAACAAATTGAGTTTAACTGAAAAAGGCATACATAAATTAATGCATTAGAAAACACATTAATGTCTTTAGCCAAATTAAGAAACAAGAAAATATTAAGCGAAAGAATTCAACAAATTTCAACATTCGTGTAGTATAAAAAATCTTTATAAAACAAGAAGGATAAAACAAAAATTCCTTGCCTAGATAAAGGTTTAATTATCAGTTAAGGGTTAGTATCCAAACCTATAGAAAAAAAATGATGAAAAACTAGAAGCATATTTTTAAAAGTCAGGATGATCCCTATCACAAGTTTTATTTAGCACTGTACTAAAAGACCTAGCTAAGACAGTAATTCAAGAATAACAAAAAGGTACAAAGACTAGGAGGAAAAAGCAATTTGTTAATCATTTATAGAAAATATAGTCAACTACATAGTAATGTGAGGAAGACTATACTATCAGAAGGAACATAATTTATCAAGCTGCAATAAGCAAAATCAACTGTATACTAATAAACAATCAGAATATATAATTTTTTAAAATATTATTTACAATAGAAATAGTGTACATTTCCTAGAAATAAGCCTAGGAAAATAGAAATAAGCTTATTTCCTAAAATAAGCCTGTAATTTAAAAAGTTTAAGACATTATTGGGAGAAATATATAACTTTTCTAGGAAACCTAATAACAGAGAATTCTATCCTGCTCCAATCTGGGAGAACTCAACAGATAAATCTGTGACACTTCTTTCAAAGCCTATCTACAAACTTAGTATAACTCTAATAAAAAACTCCAACAAAAATTTTTTGAGTATGTGGAACCTGACAGGCTGATTTTAAAATGCACATGGAAGAGACATGCCAAAAAGCAGCTAAGAGGAATTCGATTCCTCAAGGGGCAGGGTTGAAAGAACTCACCAGATATTAATATTACTAAACACACACACACACACACACACACAACAGCAACAATGTAAAACAAACACTCCCAACATGTACAGAAACTTGATATGTGACAGAGATATCTTGACAAACCATTGGGGAAAGGAATGGATTATGTTTTGGAAGTGCTGAAACAACTGATTATCCATATGGAAAAAAATAAAATTAGTGCCCTCACTAGTATCATAAATAAAATAAACTTCAGGTTGGATTAAAAACACAAATGCAAAAAGGCAAAGCTTTTTCATTTCTAAATAAAGTATAAAATCTTTATCACTACAAAGCAGAGAAAAATTTCTTGGTCAGGGTACCAAAAGAAAAAAAAAACACACTGTATTTTAAAGCAAGATTTCAAAAGTATCAACCTTAAAACAAAATATTAATATACAAAGCAAAAAAGAGAAGACACAGGCAGAATAAACATTTGCAAGCTATGTAATCTTCAAAGAATTAGTTTCCAGACTGTTCCAGAATGCATTACCTACAGAGAAAGAGATAAATAGGAAAAATGTGGACAACATATTCACAGGAGAGAAAATTAAAATACCCAATAAATTAAGTATCTCGCATTAAGTAATCAGGGAACTGCAAATTAAAATATGTGATCAATTCAGGTCTATTAGAATGACAAGATTTATATCAATAATAGAACTTTGGCAAAGAGAGTGATGGGGAACAGTGATATTACTGGTGAGAGTGTAAAATTGGTAAAGCAGTAGAAAGCAATTTGGCAGTATTTAGTAAAGTTAAACATGGGTATGCTCTATCACTCCAGAACTATTTCCAGGTTTGTGTGTGTGTGCGTGTGCATGTGTGTGCGTGCATATGTATCTAGAAAAGTATAAAGTATGAGTAAGAGACATAAAAAAAATTTCCTCTCAGTTTTTCTAGTATCATCAAGAGAGCATAAGCTACTAAAATATCTATCACAGGCATAGTTAAATAAATAGTTAAATAACTGTGCATTCTTAGAACAAATGAATGAACAAGAGATGCACATATCAATGGGCATAAATATGAAAAATGTACAGTTATATTTATAGTGTGAAATCATTAATGTTAAAATATGAAAGTGAAGTGAAAGTCACTCAGCTGTGTCTGACTCTTTGTGACCCCTTGGCCTTCTCCAGGCCAGAATACTGGAGTGGGTAGCCTTTCCCTTCTCCTGGGGATCTTCCCAACCCAGGAATTAAACCAGGGTTTCCTGCATTACAGGTGGATTCTTTACCAATGGAGCTATCAGGGAAGCCCTAAAATATGAAAAGTAATCGTTAAATGCACATACCTGTAGAGCAAAAGTCAATAAATAAAAACTTACTAATGCTTTTAATAAAGTTAAGAATGATGGCGACCCCCTTCTTCCTCAGATCAGGAAGGAGGGGCCCAGAGGATTTGAGATTATATACATCTCTTTCCTCCAAATTTGAAGTAAATATGGTGAAATGCTATGATGTGGCACAGTGGGTGACGGTACACAGATGTTTATGATTTTCTCTATACTCTTGCATACTTGAAATAATATATGCTTTGTTCAACATATTTCCTGAAAATGAGTACACTTGACCCATAGGAGAACCACCTGGAGTCTCACTCATAGCCAGTGCTGTGGATGGGATTTTAATATAATTATCTGTCCTTATGTTTGTCAAATTCATTTCTGAGTAGTGGCTACAGTGAGTGGGAAGGGGAAGAAAAGTAAGAGAGTGTATAGGAAAAGCTAGGGCCTCTGGCAGCCGACCAGCATTGTACCAAGTTCCACTAGCTTGAGTCCCGGGGTAAAAACAGCATGGAGTAGATGGTAGGGAGCACAGCAAAGT